AGAAGACAGTTTTTTTCTTGGCCTGCATTTCTCTGTGTTCCCTCTTTTCCTATGTTTATTTGATATTTTGCACCTTGGTTATGGGGCAAGATGACATTATTTACATGAATGCAAAGTAGTTTTCCAGCCATCCTGAAGCTGCAGACTTGCCCCTACTACCCAGACCCTGAGATAACAACAAGGACAGGAGGAGAAACCAGATGGAGTCTCGGCAAGACTGTACCTGGCCCCTTGCACATCACCTCCCTCCTGCTTTTCATTTCCCACGTCCCATTCCCTCATTAAAACCCACCTGAAACCTTAAAGCAGGAAGATAGTTCTAGTCTGTCTCCTAAGACATCTGATAATAAACTTCCTGCCTCACACCAGCATTTCGGACTGACAAAGTCTTTTGTTTCTAAGCAGAGCGCAGTGGGACCTGGATGCTGGTAACACTGAGAGCTGCAGGAAAAGGCACCTGTCTGGTGGCTCCATCTCATCTTGCTCAGCCATCAGTTCTAATGCCATCAGGCCTCACCTTCCTGCTATCTGTTAACTAGAAACCTGAGTTCACACACCATCCATCAGCCCAAGTATTCTGTACATCTACCACTCTGACCCACTTTCCCAACCACCCTCTACCTCAAAAACTCTTCCACTGGGTCCTCTTGTCTGTCATCAGCAAACACACTTGTTATAGGTCGAATTGTGTCCCTCCTCCCATTCATACGTTGAAGTTCTACCCCCTAGTACTTCAGAATATGATCTTATTTGGAAACAGGTTTGATAACGACAAAATTTGCTAAGTTAGGATGAGGTCATACTGAGTAGGATGACTCCTTAATCCAATATGACTGGTGTCCTACTCAAAAGGGCAAATTTGGACAGGCACACACACAGAGGGAGAATTTCATGTGAAGATTGGCATTATGCTGCCACAAGCCAAGGAACTACTAGAATCTAGGAGAGAGTCCTGCAAATCTTTCCCCAGCACTTCAGGGGAGCATGGCCCTGCTGACAATTTGACTTTGGACTTCTGGCCTCCAAAATCATGAGACATTAAATTTCTATTGTACTAAACCACCCACTGCGCAGTACTTTGTTTTGCAGCCCCAGCAAACTAATCCAGCCCTTCTCTAAACACTGCCTTCGCCTGGCTGCCTTCCTGTGACAAAGCCTCCTCCACAGTCCCCCTAACAGAGGGATTTCTTCCTCTCATACCCTTCATACCTGAAAGCCTAGAGGTGGAATAGGTGTCCACCTTGATCCCATCACTCCTTCTAAACCATTTCTTCTGTCTATGCTCAACAGCCTAGATCTTTTGCAGTTTAAGCCATCACACTCTTCCTAATTGTCACTTTCATCTACAAATCTTGTTCACACCTCATCACTCATTGATGACTTTATCTCCTATTACGTATCTTCCTTTCCCCCCCCTACTCCTGTCACATTTAATGACATCAAAAGTTCCTCCAACTCCTCATGCCCAAGGATTGTTTCTTCCACTCCAGTCCAGTCTCCTACCCTTTCTTGTCATCACCATTAATGGCACTGCCTTCAAAATGTCAGCCTCAAGCTTCCGACTCTCTGAACACCAGGTTCTAACTTTTCAGCTCATTTACTCTATACACTCTCTCCCAGAATTCTCCACTTCCATCATTTTAGTCACTCCTTCCATACATCCTCAGCTAGCTTGCATCCTTTGTACTTGTCTAGCAACATGTCAGACCCACTAAAACTTAACTCTATACCTACTGTACATCTGCAACAAGCAGCTGAATGTCGCTGGAGAAAAACACAGAACCATGCTGACTGTTCTTTCAAATAGGACCTCAAGCCTCCAAAGGTCTAATACTGCTCCTACAATTATCACCTCTCTTAATTGCAACACCAGTTTTCTTATCAATATATAACTGTGCCATAATATCTCCCATCTTAAAACTACCCTCCTTGACCCACATCTCCTTCCAGGACCCATCCCATTATTCTATTCTCATTTGTAGCAAAATTCCTCAAAGGAGATGCCTGTACTAGCTGTCTCCACATTCTCAACTCCTCTAATCAGTATGTTAACTCAGCATTCCACTAAGCTTACTCACATTGCCAAACACTTTCCTCAATGCTCAGTCCCCAGACTACTCCGACTCTCAGCATCACTGACCACAATTAATCACATCCTTCTCAGAACACTTCTTCTCTTGGCACACTTTACTGTTTTTCCTCCTGGTCTCAGGTTTAGTCAGACCTTCTTATCCAACACTGCACTCACTTCCCAGGTGCTTTAATCTAGTCTAAAAGCTTAATATTCTGTCTTCATGATGTTGGCTTTTGAATCACCAGCCATGACCCCTCACTTGAACTTTAGATGTGCATGTCCAGTCACCTATGGGGGATAACTCTTAGTATCCCCCAAAACAAATTCTTGATTCCTACTACACAGCATCTAGAATATCATTTTCCCATATTGTGTTAAAGTACACTAATTCTATACCTAATTTATTTATGTGTTTTTATCATGAAGTAGTGTTGGACTTTATCAAATGCTTTTTCTGCATCTACTGAAATGATCATATGGTTTTTTTCATTCATCCTATTGATGTGATGTATCATGCTTATAGTTTTGCATATGTTGAGCCATCCTTGCATCCCTCAGATGAATCCCACCTGATAATGATGCATGATCTTTTTAATGTGTTACAGGATTCTGTTTGCTAGCATTTTGTTGAGAATCTCTGTGTCTGTGTTCATTAGGGATATTGGTCTGTAGTTTCCTTTTTTTGTTGTGTCTTTTTCTGGTTTTGATATGAGGGTAATGCTGACCTCAATAAAGACCA